TAAATATTACCTCCCTTCTAACTAAAATCTTTTCATGGGGTTGTATAATTTATATGTCTTTGATTGTGTACAATAGGCAATGAAAATGCATTTTTCAAATTTTTCATCAAGTTTTTGACGAATTTGAGGATGTTTCGAAGCATAAGCAACACAACCAAAGATTCGTAAATGACTTACAGATGGTTTCCTTCCATGTCATGCTTCAGAAGGAGTTCGATTCATAACCGCCTTTGTTGGTGAGATGTTTAATAGATAAACAGATGTTGCTACAGCTTCTGCCCAAAATTGGTTTGAAAGTCTCCTTGCTTGTAACATCCTTCTTGCTATCTCCATAATAGTTCGATTTTTTTCGTTCAGCGATTCTATTTTGTTCTAGAGTGTAGGGAGCTATTAATTCCCTTTGGATGCCCTCTTCTTCACAAAACAGATTGAACTCTTTAGATATGAACTCGCCACCTCTGTCTGTTTGAAGAACTTTAATGTGACAGAACTTTGGTTCTCTACCATAGCTTTAAAAATCTGAAACTTCTGAAAAGTTTCTGACTTATGTTGTAGGAAGTAAACCCAGCTCATGCAACTATAATCATCAATGAATAGCAAAAAGTATATACTCCCACCCAAGGACTTCGTTTGCATTGCCCACATAAATCAGCATGAATTAGTTCCAGACAATGTGAAGCACTTCTAGCTTTTCCAACAAGAAAGGACTTCCTAGTCTGCTTGCCATAAATGCATCCTTCACATAAATTAGTTGAGTCAATTCTTGGTAATCTGAAAACCATACCTTTATTCCTGAGTATTTTCAGGTCGTTCATATGAAGATGTCCATATCTGAGATGCCATATGTTGAGTCATCTTTCGTGCTAGCAGCAAGAGCAAAATCCTCCATGTTAGAAATATCAAGTGAAAACATCTTATTTGAAGATATGGCAATTTGAACTTTATGGTCTGATTTCTTATGTGTAATGACACATGTGTTGTCATCAAATAAAACTGAATGTCCTCTAGTCATCAATTGTCCAACACTCAATAAATTATACCCTAAATTAGGTAGAAATTGAACATTATCTAATTGTTTTATCTTACCTGGACTGGTTTCGATTTTCACTGTACCTTTTCCCTCAACTTGCATCTCTTTTGTGTTTTCAAGTTGCACCTTAATTTTTTGCGTCTCATCAAGCTCTTTGAATAAGGATTTGGTGCCTGTCATATGGTTCGAGCATCTGCTATCAACAAACCATAAGTCACCTTTTTTTGGATTGGTATCCATGCACGCCATAAGCAGCTTTTCTTCTTCTTCTTCATTCTCTGCTTGCAAAATTCATTCGTTGATTTTTATCCCAACAATCAGATTTTGTGTGCCTATACCTTCTGCAATGATAACATTGTATGACATTCCTTTGTTCATTGAATTGTCTCTGTCCATCACTTCTCTATCTACCCCTGTTATCACGACCACCATGGAAGCTGCGAAATCCTCCTCTTCCACGACTTCTACCTGCTAAATGAATATTTTCTCATTCATTGTTTTCGTTGTTGGTTGTCTCCTTCACTTGTAGTGCCTTTTCTTCGTTCCTTTCTGATGCTCTATTGATTCTTGTCTCATGAGCCTGAAGCGAGCCCATCAATTTATCAACGGAGAGTATGGATAGATCCTTAGCTTCTTCTATGGCAACCACCACATGGTCAAACTTTGGAGTCAAGTTTCTCAACACCTTTGCAACAATTGTTTCATTTGAAATTTTCTCTCCATAGGTACGCATCTGACTGACTATTGCCATTGCTCTTCACAAAAAATTAGCAATTGATTCGCCATTCGTCATGAGTAGAGTTTCAAAGTCACGTCTTAGAGATTGCAATTTCACTGTCATGACCTTTGAATCTCCTAGAAACTCCTTCCGTAGAATTGACCATGCCTGCTTTGATGTGGTTGCTGCTGCAATTCGTGAAAAGATAGTCGCATGAACTGCTTGCTGAATAATGAATAAAGTATTGGCATCGTTTTTCTTGGTTTCTCTTAGTCTCTCATTTTCTTCTATTGTGGGTTCTAATACATCAACAAACTCGTGCTCCACCAAGTCCCATAGCTCTTGCGATCTGAGAAAGGTTTTCATCTTGATGCTCCACCACTCATATTTCTCACCATTAAAGATTGGTAACAACGGTGCAGAGGAAGAAAAACCAGCTACTGCCATTTTTGTTTTGTGAAAGAAAATAATCACTCACCCTCGTGTCGAACGAACTTGGCTATGATACCAAAATTGTTGGAAAAGGGATAGTAAAAGAGATAAGAATAGATAAAATAGATGAATGCTGACGTGCTTTATTATTGTGATTCAATGCTTAAAGGGTTACACAATTCCAGTATTTATAGTTTATACACTCAACCAGAAATAGTAAATCATCTAAATCTATAAAAATTCAAATCTACTAACAATCTCCTAAAATCTTGGTAGTTTGAATATTTGAATCATATCTCAACTACTATGAATCATATCTTCATTTTGAATACTTTGAATCATATCTCAACATGCCTCAGAAGACAACTCTCTAGCCTCGTTTAGGGGTGGGTGCTGCTCAGCTTCACGACCAAATCCAACCTAGGTCCCTCTCCTCTTCGGAGCCATAGTCTGTCAAAAGACAACAAACTTGGGTTACTACATATTCTAGAACGTCATTCTATCAAGAGTAGTAAGTTGTACCATCATACTTATAAGACTCTTGTGATACACCTTAGCAAGACTTATTTTGCTCTACAGACTTAGATACATACTTGGTCTCGATGCGGCGTGTCAATGAGCTGAGTCATAGAGGTATAGCCCACTTTACAAAAAAAAAAAAACAAAATCTACTGGACCTAAAATCTTACTGCTCTGATATCAATTTGTCACGGCCCAATTTCTCGAAATCTCGAAAATTGGGTCATGACAATTCAACCATGATTAAGCACCATCCCTCAAAGAATAAATGAAGAAACTCAATATAATCATATCTCTATCCACTCCTTGGAATCGGAATGAGTCACTAACTCTCAAAGAAGATCTTCTGAGAGTAGTACGTAAAATTTCCCAATAGTTTGCAGCATTTCATGAGCTTTAGCTCGAAAGTGGTTGCTTACATTTTGGGTTTTATAATGCACGAATTTAGCTCTTCCACAATTGGGTATGCATATGCTCTAATTTCTCTTTCTTTGTCATATGCTAAATGAATAGAATTAGGGGTGGTTCTCTCTAGATTAGTCATCATTGCTGAATTTTCAAACTTCTAATTCACTTTGGCTCCATGATCTATTTCCGATATATTTTGTTCGGTCATTCTCAACCTTTGTTCCCTCAACCTTCACCTCGATATATTTTGTTCAGTCATTCTCAACCTTTGTTCCCTCAACCTTCGCCTAAAGGTTTTCTAGATTTCGGGATCAAAAATAAAATCGAAAACTGTAGGTGAGTTCATTCAACGAATTCTACAGTAGTAAATTCAGCCTCACAGTTTTAAAACACGTTTATTGAGATAAGTTTCCACACACCCTCGTAAAGAATGATTTGTTTCCCTTTCCAACCGATGTGGTATCTCACAAGCTATATCAACAATAGATGCAAAGAGTTATATAATTTATGGTCAAAATTGTCTTAGCTTTTATATTTTATTTTTTTACCAAAAAGTAAAATGTCTAACAAGACCTCTATTGAGACATGTGGCAGTGATATAGATAGAACTCAAAAGCAACCTAAAAGCATGAGCTAAAAAGTACTATGAGTTCAAATCTCAAAGCAACAATATAAATCAAGAACAATTTAATACTCCGATAAAGAAAGCATTAGGGAAACCTATAGTATAAACGCTTAAAAATATAGACATGAAGCTAATGAAAATCACACTAAAATTGTACTCCAAACCTCATTACACTATTGAAACACATTCCCCTAACGTATGAACAAATAGTTATATTATATACCCTCAGTTATTTAGTTTATAGAGGCTAATTTTTTTTTTTTTTTAGAAAGCAATCTATATTATCGTAACTCATGTGATTTGAAGTGAATTTAAGTAAAAACAAAATTCACAATGTATAAATCAAGAAAAGCATAAAAAGAGTACATAAGAAAAATATATCATTTTTGTCCAAAATTTTTAAAGTTGCGAGTGTATTATCTAGAAGCCAAAATAATAATAATAATAATAATAATAATAATAATAATAATAATTCCGTAATGCACCCACATTTAAAGGCAAAAATTAAATTGTAGCACAAGGAAGAGTTCATAGAAAATTCGATTCTAATCTAATCGATAAACTTTCACAAACCACGAATTCAACAATTATTTGTGATTCTCTCCATCAACTCTCCTCAAGTAATGAGTTATTCGTTGACCAAATTCTTTCACACTGATCCGAACAAAAACCCTAACCCTAAAGGTTTATCAAATATGGTACAAGTTTCCTTTTGAGCGATCATCCATCATTCATTCTTTTAGTTTTGATTTCAATCTATCCAAAATAAAAAAATATATGCTTTCATTCTTTAATTTGAAAATATAATTTTTTTGTTCTGAATCTGAGACAAAAATCACTCGAGTCGATAAAGTTGTGTGCATAAATTATTTCAATTTTGTTGTGTTTTTTTACTTAGATATTAAAATTACTTAGAAAATAATGGAATAGATATTAAACCTAACTTAGAGTTTAAATATACATACACATTTTATTCTCATTCTTCACGAGCCCTACAAAATTTGAAAGTGTGACCTAACCCAGTTGAACAAAAAGGTATAAGATTAAAAATAAAAGTCGGTTCTTTATTTATTTAAAGAGAAAGTACAACAAGAGCTCTCATTTGAACATCACAATATTGTAACCATTCCCCGTCTTTGTTATATATTTTATTTTGAATGCATGAGGAGAGAATTATTTATATGGTGCTCTTTTTTATTTCTTCATGATATTATTAATATATGTATATATATTGTACTGCTAAAGATGTGTTTTTCAGGGTGCATATCCCTCGTGCTTACCTCCATCGTATCCTCCGTAGTTTCCTCCACTGTATTCCTCATGCTTACCTCCGTCATATCCCCCGTAGTTTCCTCCATCGTATCCCTTGTGTTTATCTCTGCCGTATTCCTCGTGTTTACCTCCGTCGTATTGCTCATGCTTACCTCCATAATATCCTCTGCCGTATTCCTCATGCTTTCCTCCACCGTATCCTCCATAGTTTCCTCCACCGTATCCCTCGTATTTATCTCTGCCGTATTCCTCGTATTTACTTCCGCTGTATTCCTCATGTTTACCTCCACCGTATCCTCCATGGTTAACTCCATCATATCCCTCGTGTTTACCTCGATCGTATTCCTCATGCTTACTTCCTTCATATCTCCCATAGTTTCCTCCATCGTATCCTTCGTGTCTATTTCCGTCGTATCCTCAGTAGTTTCCACCATCATATCCCTCGTGTTTTCCTCCGTCATATCCCCAGTACTTTCCTCCATATGCACCATCTTTACCATATCCATAGCCATAATTTTCAACACCATATTCCCCTACGGAAGCATAGCTACTATAACCATGACCACTTGAAGAACCATATCCTCCATAAGAACTTGACAAACGTCTCGCTGCAGAACAAATTCCTATTCCGAAGAACAGAAAGAACACAAGAGAAGATAGTTTATGGTAAGCCATTTGCATATGCATTTGAATGCTTTGAGTGAAGAGGTATATATATATAAGGTGAGCATGGGGCCTAAATACCACTGCCTTACTCTATACACGCAAATTGCAGAAAATGGGTTTGACCCATAATCTACGTTTAGGCCTACCGATCTTAGACATATGATTTTGCACCTCACCTTCTGCCTAGCTCGTATATATATATATCAATGTCTAATTTAACACTTTTTGTGTTGATATGTCAATGTCTATGCTAAGTCTTTTAAAACACTCAATAATCCTTTAAACTCAATCTTATGTGTTAATTCTAAGCTGCTTGTTAACATCTAACTTGGATCATGTTTATGCTTGAGCTGATGTTGGGTCATATTTGTTTCTACTCATATGAAACCAAAAATATATGAACAGTTTTTTCCTTCTATCCGTTTAATTTTTTATATGGAAACGAGTAATTTCATTACATGGTATTATGTTTTCAACTCATGGTCAAGTCCTCAAAATGGAAAGCATATTGAATCGGTTAAAAGAATCATTTTCCTCTATGCAAATTAAAGAACAAGCCCTCACAAGCAAAAATTCGTAACTCATTCATTGATTATCAAATTTATAAAGAGAGATTAAATATTTGTTGGTATAGTATTATACAAACTCATTGTATAAAATACCATCACTTACATGTCTCCACATAAACGATTTGGATCATATAATTTGTAACAATTATAAAATATGTCATATCAATAGTGTTACCATGATAAAACATCCAACTTCATGTACTATAGACCATTTATGTTATTACTTGAACACGTTCTTCTTGAATCACGTAATGTTCAAGATTACATTAATAACCTTGTATTTTTATACTATGAATAATATTAAATTGTACATAAATTAATATAAATATTATTAAAAATTAAATAAAATAAGAAAAGAGAGTAAGGATTAGAGAGTTATCCAACTTTGTTGCTCTCCTTCAATATAAGTTCCCTTCATTAAAGGTCTCACGTCCACCTCTTTGACTTAATCTATTTTTTTTGGTCTTTTTTTCCTTCTACTGTCAAGAGCGGCTGAATTAGGGTTCTTCTTCCTCCCTCGATTCAGAGCAACACAATCCTCTTCTTTCTATTTTATTTTTTTCCCTTTGGTGGCTCATCTATATTTTAGTCAACCTCTTCTCTAATTAGGTAGTGAATGACCCAAGTAGCTTGCTGATTTGGATTATAATTTACATGTCGTCCCAAAAAAATTTGCTTTCCGAATTGATTCAGCATCATGGTTAGCAACTTGTTTCCGGACTTGATTATTTTTTAATTTATCACGAGAGCATAGTTCAGCATAAATGTTCTGAAATTTTACCAAATCACTCAATTAAATATATAATTAGGCTTGATTTATGCAAATTGATATTTTTTTTTATTTTGACCCACGTAAACTATTCCATACTAATTATTATAAATGAAGCAATGAGTATGAGTGCAAAATTAACTTGATTCGGTATAATTTTTTTTATTTTTTTATTAAGAGTTATCACATCTCCAAATTTCATAAATTAGTCATCATTGACTAATTATTCTTCACTCTCCCTTCAGCTCTTTTCTCATTAACTAATTTTTTCTATTTGTTTTATAATCAATACCTATAAGAAAAATAACACATTTTTCACTACCGTCGTATTCTCCAAAACACTTCTAGGATGATTTTCGTTCCTTTTTCCTTTCCTATTGTGACTCAACTTCATTATTTATTTCCTAACTTTCTAATGTCATAACATTTTGATTTTTTTTTCTCTCTCCCAAAATCCTTGAAGTTATTCCCTATTCTCAGGGTGCCTCCATTTAGGATGCAAATCATCTATGTCTTCAACGGATGACTATATAGATTAATATTCATTTTCCCTTAGCTCAACTCAATAGCATCCTGAAGTTTTCTGTATAGTCATATTTGTGATGCAAGCTCGATTCAATAGGAGGTTTTCAGTATGGCCACATTTGTGATGCAACTCACCTCAACAATAATGATAACTCTTTTTTTTTTTTTTTTTTTACATCCCTAATA